TGGGAGAACTTGCACAATTGGTGGCTGACTAAATACTTTTTTGCCCCACTGTATGTCTGAGTTCCAAATAACATGAGTTTATTGCTAAATTTGATTATGATCCTCTTCTACAAAAGATCAAAGTAAAACTTCAGGGATATCAGTATCTTTATTATCATTTTTTTTTAACAGAATAGCTGCAATTAAAGTGACTATTCTTCATAAAACTATATTCCCATTTCAAACACGTTCAGCTCTCCTAGCTATGATTTGGCTTTATACATGACAAAGAATTTATATAATTTAAGCAACAGCAAGGCAGAGGCCAAATCTGAAATATTACTTGTAAAATGTTTTGAGCTTTAACATAAGATATTCAGTCAGGTGAAATTCAAGCATGTAATGAGAAATGCAAAACATTTTGGAAAGTGGTAATACCATTTATACCACTGTGAAATAGGAAGTAGGAACACATAATAGAAGAGGAAAGAGGCGTTTGACCTTCCTTTCATTACTGTTCTCATTCTGTCTTACATCTCTTTCCATACCATTTAGATCTGAGCTGTCTGTGACACAAGATTGATGTTTGAAAGCCAAATTTTCAGCTCAATTGTGGCAGCAGGGAAGGTGTGCCAGTTATCCTTTTTGGTGCACTGGTAGGCAAAATCCTAAAATCACTAGTCTTGTTAAGGGAGAAGAAACTAACTTTGCTTTCTGAGTTTCTCTCTACAGCACCATACATGCCATTCTTCTGTATCCTAACTGCAAATGACAATAATCGGCGATGAAGGAAAGATATCATGCACAAACGTTTGCATGGTTCTTAACTATTCCTGTATTGTGAGTGCGGCCTAACAATTTCCCCCAAATTTAGGTTCAACCTATTAAGCTTTGTTCTATACTCAGCTCACCTTCTACCAGGTCATCGATTAGGAGAAAGTGAAGGAGAGAAGAATAAATTTTCTAGGAAAATGTACAGCTGTTCTGAATTCATCCTCCTTCCCTGTAATAACTGTTGTTGGATCATTTGAAAGACTTATTTCAAGCGCTACCACTATAAGGCCCATGGGCACCATTGTGTCTGGTAATGGGTCCCTTGGTGCCCTCCAAATTTCATGCCCTGTCTGACTTTTCTGTTCTATGGCTGGTTGAGATACCCTAGGAGTCATTTTGAAGGTAAGCAGCACTCCTACCCCCAAAGCAGCCATAGCATCACAATAAACTCAAAATACCAAGTGTCTATTGGCCAACAAAATATGGGGAAGCCTTGTGCCATTTAGTTCAGCATTCTTCTTTGTGGATAGGGATGAGAAGAACTTCAAATTGTGAGGATTTTATGTCCAGTTATGGACTTCTTAGATGCGCTTGTTTTGGGGGTGAGTTTGGAGATCTAGAATCACTGTGGGGTGGGGAGGCAGCTAAGTTGCATTAGTTCCCTTGGACCTGTAGCCTCCCTCACTGGGATATATTCCTTGAGTGTCATTCTGCAGTGATTCAGACTAAACCCTATTGAATATGAGGGTTAGCCTTAAATAATAAATAAAATCCTTTTTTTGTCCCATGTTTTGTCTTGCTTTGGATTGTGCCAGAAAGACAGTGGGAGGTGGAAGTGGAATCTGCCATTGGATGTCTTCTCCATGATTTCTTACCAGGTGAGTTTCCTGGGTTCTAGGATTTTGGTTTAAGAAATTTCTGGTTGTGGAAAATTCAATCTCAGCCTGGAGATTATATTCATTAGACTTGGGTGCTTCACTCTGTTCTCCAGTCATTATTGATAAAAGTCAGGACTATGGCAATAAGTGTATTCATCAAGTTCTAATACCAATCTAAGAAAATGAACAAGATGTCTTTAATGAGGAAGACACATTCAAACAGGGAAACTGAGTTCTAGCACTGCTTTAGGCATGAAAGCCAGCTGGGTAACTTTGGACCAGTCACTCTCTCTCAACCCAGTCCACCTATTGCACTGCCCAAGTCATGGTTCAGCCTTTTGGGTTTTCTGACCTCACCCAATCTGCTTATCGGACCAGGGCAATGAGCTGTACACTTTTTTTCTTTTAAACCTAGCCAACCTTTTTACCTTATCCATATGTAATGTGCCCTAACCAGCTGAAATCTCTTCTATGTGGCACTCCCTTTGAAAGTGTTTGGAAGTGACAGTTAATGCAAAATAGGGTGGCATCTTCATTAACTATCCTGTTTCTAACTTTTAAAGCCTACACAGCTTAGGACCAAGGTAGCTAAAGAGCAGCCAAGCTCTATATGATCCTGCTTCTTAAGGGTGGCCATGAGGGCTCTCTCCCATTATCCTGAAGTATGGCATGTGGTGGCTCATGAGGAGTCCTTGTCTATCACAGTATTCCTCTTGCCCCACATCCTGACCACCCCTTCCCTGAATGATTTGCTTATAACACATCTGGATGCCTTTCCAGTGACAGTTGAACATTCCTTTTTTTCTTTGTGCCATATTTTTGTGCTTGTTACAATTATATAAATTTAATTGCTTTGAGAGTCAGATGTTCCACATAGACCAAGCCAAAAGAAAACAAAGCTCAAACCATGCTGTTTCTGCTCGCCACATCTGGGGCAGTTTAGGGGTTAATGCAGCACAATGGATAGAGCTGGCATCAGCATCCAGCAGCCCTGGAGGGTCCACATCCTCACAGGGCCTACTGCCAATACTTGGCCTTGAGCTGCCTCTTCACTCTTTTCTTCTGACCTATCACAGTGAGAAACACCTGGGAGCTTCATTAGCCAGCCTTTTGTTTTATTTTCCCCAAATGCCTTTCCCATCAACTACCAGCACTCACTGGGAAAAATATAAAACTAAATCAAGCTCTCTGTGCACAACTATTGCACTGAGATTAGCCTTCCAAAGCTGGCTGACAGAAGACCCAGGTAAGACTTTGCCCTGCAGAGCTCCAACTTGGAAGTCAGCCTGGTGAGAAAACCACTTTCTCCTCTGTACGCTTGGTGTTACTTAAAGTCTTCCTTGGGGATGTTTCAAGTTGACATTTGGAGGTGAGCTACCTGGGATAAGTCTTTTTAAGAGCAAAACCAAGACTTTGCAACTCACTCCCATGGAAATGTACTCTGCCCCCTTTTTCTTGGCTCTTTAACATCAAATTAAGCAGAGTTTGTTTAAAAATGTCATGGTTAAGAAGATTCTTTGCACATTTTTACCACTTGTCATATTGGGCAGTGTGTGTGTGTGTGTGTCTTTAAAAAATTTCAAGCTTGTGGGACCAGACCGGTGCAAAATAGCAGGTGGGACAGAAGGTGGGACCAGATACAGTATATTGGCTTCAGCTGGACAAATCAGTACACGAGTTGCAACAGAACTGTTGTCAGCCGCCGAGAATCTTCTGATTGCAGCAGGATATACATTTCATTAGTAAATCAGTAAACTCTCATGCATAGCTAGGAGTAAGTTTCTGGCTGAGAATGGGATCTGTAGTCCAGCAGTTATAAAGGCTATACGTGTTTTTGCACTGAAGCTGAGCAATGGGCAATTAACATGAAGATAATTGAAGATCATTCTTTTTCTTCTTGCTATTCTATTGGTGTTAAACTATTGAGGGTCCAAAGCTTGTGCCTTCTGCAAATTATTGCTGAACCTCCTGCTGTTTTAAAGAAATGTGCAAACTAATTTGCAGAGCAAGGTATGAAGCCAGGAGTTTGCTTCTGAGGTTGTTACTAAATGGCCTTCAGCAAATTCTTCTTCTTGCAGCTGACAATATAGAGATAAACCTTCATACATTTTAAATGAAATCAAGCTCATTTTGTCAAGATCATAGGACTGAAGATATCAAATTCAGAGTACTCCTACAACTCAACAAATGGAACCCTCTCCTACTTCTTCCCTGTCCACTCCTCTTTCCATCTTAAACCTCTGCTAATGGGTAATATAGATCATCTTTTTTAACAAGTAACTTTAATTTTAAAGTTTAAACAGCTACTTTAAACAGCTACTAATCAGTCTTGACTTAGTATTGAGAAGTTTGCATAAGACAGAAAAGTTTGCATCAATTTTGTTTTTTTAGTGCCCTGTATATTCTACCAAAACCAAGACAAAACTAATTTGTTAAAGCACATTTTATTGAAGTACTTTTGAGGGAAACTTTCATATCATAAGTAAAAATACTAGAATTGAATGTTGTTAAAAAAATACAACGCACACAACAATGGAATTTTGTGTAAAGGGAAAGTTGAGGGTATTTTAAATACATTCCCTTTCAAATTAAAAAAAAAGTTAAGGAACTGCAGTATAGGTCTTTTTTTTTTTTAAACAGGTAAGAGAATAGAAACACAAGCGTGTCTAAAAGAACATAAAGCCACAACTGAATAAACTCATTCACAGTACGAGAGCTTAAAATCCTGGCCCGTGTCAAAAAGCAAAAAGACAACTTTGTTTGGCAAATCCAGAACGAGGTGGCTGTGAAAATACAAAATGAAGTGACAAGAGGATAAAAAAAGGAATGAGAGGGGAAAAAATTCTTGATCATATAAAGTTTCACCCTAATTATTATTATTTTTTTTTACATATAGCCATTGCAACCACTGATGGAGGTTTCTTCCATACATAGGTGGCACCATCCAGCTTGCCCTCCCTCCCTCCCCCTATAACCTTTAAAAATGTACACTGAAGAGTGGAAAACAGATGGACGGGATCTCAATATGCGAAGTATCTTGCCATGTTAATGCCTCTCTAAAACCTGCTGCTGCAATCTGGTGCCCTCCAGATGTATCAGGATTACGCATTGCAGAATTCTGTGCCAGCTGAAAGCCCATGCTGGCACAGAAGTATTTGGAGCTGTGACCCGCTTCTGGAAGGCATCAGGCTGGGAAAAGATGTGAACATATGTGAAAAGGACCAATCACTTCACTGCCAAAAATACGACTCTCCAGATTTTGCTCAGTAAGATAGAAGTTTCATCACCTAAGAATATTGTGCGTGGTTTGCTTTTTAATGTGTACAAATCCTGCCCTCTCCCCTGGTCAATTTTTGCAACTTTAAAGCATTTTCAGTTGAAATAGATAAAACCAATTTGTTTCTCTAAAGTGTACTCCCCAGAAACATGCTGGGACTAGAATGCAGTATAATTGATGTGCTGTCTTCAGTGGAACATTGTGACATTTTAAAAACAGACCATTCAGCTCTGTTTGATATGTAGCGTGTAGTAGCAGTTGTGCTAACGTCATTTTCTTCTTGACTCTATCTCTCTGAAGTCCTACGTGCCGTTCCTATAAAAGGTTTCCTAGAGTTGCCGGCAGAATCGTTGTGGCCTTAATGGCCCAGAGTTTGTTCGTTTTTTGTTGCTGCTCTAATTATTGCACTATCTAAGTCTGCCTCTCATCCTAAATAAATCTAATTGTTCAGAGTGCAGCTTCTCTACTTACACATAATGAACAGTATGAAATAAATAAAAACAGGGTTGTGGTTTTCGTTTTTGTTTTTAAACGGCCAACGCTGCTGTTTTGTTGCAAGTCTTAGACTTTTTGAAAGAAAACTGTTTTGGTGCATGTTCTTAAAAACCTAAGATGTTCTTTTTTCTCCAGAAGAAAAATCTTTTTTTTTTTAATTTTTAATCATGTTTTAAGAATGGTTTCTTATCTTCCTTCTCAAAATTGCAGAGATTCTGACTCAAAAATTCAACAGGATTGTTTTAAATACACAGCCTGTGAGGCTTCCTACAAATTCAACTAAACCTTAATACAAACATAGTTTGTAATTCATGTATCGTAGAGAGTTCTCTAGTGTCCATTGAAATTAAAGGTCCCCAAAATGCAGTCTGATTGGTTGAAGTTAATGGACAAGTGAAACATTAAGCTGTTCCACTGGCGGAGTAAGAGAACTGAGGGAAGTGCGGCCGCCGTTCGTTATCAACACAATCCATGCTGTCATCTGGAAACAGAATGAAAGTATCGTTAAAGGATTTCTACTGTGGTATGAAAAGTGGAAACAGCAGGGTGAGGTAGACATTTTCAGCTAGGATACATTTGGAATTCTGAGAGCAGATCTTGGGTGCATTTCACACACACAGGACACCGTGAGAGACTCGCCTGTTCACAAATCACTGCCACGGTGGCATGTCTACTCACAAAACATCCATTTACCAGAAAGTAAACCAAGGTGTTCTCTACCAATTCAGTGGGCTCAAAGACATTTTTTCCAAACAGCTATAATGCTAGAAGCTGGCCATGGATTCTGCAGCTTTATCAGCTGCTTATTTAATTTTTTAAATTTTAAAAAGTCTTTTAAAAACATCAGGTTGGTAATCAAGAGTATTCTCCCTTCCAAATTTTGAACATGAACTACCTGTTTATGCTATATTAGCCATGCAAAACAGTGTCTGCATCCCCCCTCCCCAATGTTATAATACCTCTGTTGCATTCATGTGCTATTTGTGTACAATATTAGGAACAATGTTTGTGGTTTAAATGGGCCTTGCTGTGCCCAAAAAAATTGCTAATGGTGTAAGAATTCAGTGGATAAGAATCCCAGTGTTTATATCCTTAAACAAAAAATCCTATGCAGATAAAAGCACTTTGGTCTTGAGAACTGCGTATTTGACACAAAGGGCTTTCCTATTAGTTAAGGATATACAGTAGTACTGTATTTAGGGACACTACAATTGTAATGCCACTAGTGCTCTCACAAGTCTGACAACCAGAGAGAGGATATTCATTTTTGTCTCAAGTTTAGCACTTATACAACAAAAAGATACCCCCAAACCTTCTCTTTCTACTAGTCAATTTTTAAAAATTTTTATAACCAAACCAAAGTTGCTGGAGAGGTTGGAAATAAGTGGGATTTAACCCTTACCCTCAGCTTTAAGCTGGCATTTGCACAAAGAAGGATTTCCAAGAAACAAATTGGCACAGAGGTAACATTTGTTCCAAGGGCCATCTAATCCCCAGAGGAACAAGAAAAATGTAGCTAACAACTGCATTAAATTTAATTTTTTCTATGTCTGCTAGCTGATGCTTTATTATTTTCAGTATTTATGTTCTGTGCAAATTGTGTTTTATGAAAAACTTCTATACTGGTGGCAGATCAGTAGTATCACATGATCCACTCCAAGGCTTATGCTGTCCTTTATAGTTTTTTTTTTTTATGGAGATCCTTTTAATTCACAATCTGTGATTTGAACAACTCTCTATTTTTATCTCCCCTGCCACTGACTGTTTTATATGAAAGCTGACTAGGGATTTTTACCTTTTCTGTTTTCCTTTCTTTAGAAATAAAATTTAATTCTATTTATTCTTTGTGAGATTGATTCATCTGTCAGAGGGGGGAACTGATTTCCCTGGTCACAGCCTTTAATGCTACAGGGCCAGGAGATAGCACTATAGAATTTATTTAATTTTTACCAGATGTTCTCTCTTTTACTTGTCAGTAAGATGCATAAGCTGTCAGAGCCCTCTCTAACATGAATGCTGGAGTTAAGGTAAAAGTAGAGAGGTAGTGGCAGCAGAAACTACCAAGCCACCACACCAAGGCAGAAGGTAGAGCTACAATGTGTAGCCTAGAGCAGGGTTCCTCAACCTCGGCAACTTTAAGACGGGTGGACTTCAACTCGCAGAATACAACTCGCAAGGCTGTCTGGGGAATTCTGGGAGTTGAAGTCCACCCATCTTAAAATTGCCAAAGTTGAGGAAACCTGACCTAGAGGGCTTTGGAGACAGGACCTGAGAATGCCAAAACTTTACCCTATGGACTAGTCTTCTAGTAACCACTACCTTCTAGGAAGAATCTGTTAACTCTTTGTCATTTTAATAACTGTGGGTTTCCTGGATATTGTAGTTTAGTGAGGTGGCTATGAATTCTCCATTGGAGATTCTCCATCTACCACACTAAATACAAAGCTACAATTCTCAGCATTCTGTGTGAAAAAAAGGAATGACCATTAAGCAACAGAAGTTTATAGGATTAATGTATTGCCAGTGGTGTATTTAAGATTGCAGTCTTGTTACATGGGCTTGAAAAAGGTAAAAAGAGAGCATTCAGCTACTGACAATGGGGGGCGGGAAGAGGGCAATCCCGTTTTTAAAAAATTTAAATCAATTGCTGTCAGTGTGGCTGTGACATTTTCATATAATTGAAAGCATGGCATGAGTTTTTTGTCTGTGGGGAAAGGAATACTTAACATTTATTTTCTGTCATTTTCCACTGAAATTAGGCAGACAATGGTGATGTTGCTGATTGGCAAACCTGGAGGCTTTTAGGGTTTGTCAAAAAGGGAGACTTCCTGCAGGCACAGGTTGTCTGTGAGCTTAAAATCTGTTTTTAAGAAAACCCTCCAGTATTGGATGATACAGGCTCAGCTGCTGCACTTACGTCTTCTTATTACAGTATTTAAAAAAAACTGGTGCATTGTGAAAAGACACACTAGAACAAGGTTCTTCAGCAACTTTAAGATGGGTGGATTTCAACTCCCAGAATTCATGCTGGCTGGGGAATTCTGGGAATTGAAGTCCACCCGTCCTAAAGTTGCTGAGGTTGAAGAACCCTGCACTAGAAGACCCCTTACACTGAGACCACTGGAGCATCTTGCCCAGAGCCATTTCTTATCCAGACTGTCAGGCAAGAGTTTGTTAAGCTTTTGGTCAAGCCATGTGCCCTGTTGTCCAACTAAAGCACCTTCAAGCAGTATTACCTTGGTCAGGGGGGGTGATAGTGATCATCTGTGCTGTGAATTCTTCATCAAAATAGCGTGTATCTGTTTCAGACGTCACTTGGGGTTTAAATGGAGGTACCAGCTGCAAAAAGAAATAAAACCTGGAATTGAGTTATTAGAATAGGGGAATCTCAGCAACCCTCCCCAGATAGCTGAGACTGCATTGCAGAAATTTGACAGCCAAACAGTCAACTTTTGGCAGTAAAATATTTTCATTTTCTTTTTAAAATGAAAGATAGGAATGGGGATGTTCCCATTCCAACTTTAAATCCACCCAGATCCCTAATCCCATACTGCATGAACTCATCAGTGCTCAGGCCAACTGAGCCTATTTTCAGGCTTTGGGGGGGGGGGGGGAGACAGTTAAATTTCAGTTAAATTGTTATAGAAGAATAAGATTATAACCCTCTTATAAGCCAGAATGAAGTAATTAAATGGAAAACCACTCCCCCCAAGCATGGGGCCTTCCAGATTTATTGTTTCTGTGCTGGCTGGCAGTTTTGGGCTCAACACACCTTGAAGATGCTCACCTTATGCCTTCAATCTACAGACATACATTCCAGCCTCCCTTCAAAGAATGCAGGTTGGTGCACCTAAACTTCCCTAGGCTCTTGTTCCTTTCTTGCCTCCCACTAGTGTTAAAATCTCATGCCCCAAAAGTTTTTGCCCACCATGGACATAACCAATTAGTGCAATATCCTTGCTGTGATTAGGGTGTGAGTACATAAATTCACAGAGGTGGCTGTCAACCATCGATTGAGAACCCTAACCCTAAGCCATTTGGTGGTAAACAAAGTGTGAGATGAAAAGTGAAGACATGATTGACTAGTGCGTGACACTCACCGGTGAGCAAAAAAGGAACAAGAGCTTCCCTATTTTTATCTTGGCTGACAATTTAAGCTAAAAAGGCCCAGGGTTCCCCAAGAACTTGATGGGGTCCCATGGAAGACTAAGGGGTGGGGGGGCGGAGAACGAACCCAACCAAGGATGTTTGTAGCAGTTTTCTGGGGCACAGCAGAAAAGGTGTGGCTTGTTCTCCAGTGAAAAACCATGATGGCTGCCATTTTGCAGATCAGGAGGCTCTGAGAATTTTTTTAACAGGTTCAGCGGCTTGAAAATGTTTGAAAACCCCTGCCTTAAGGTATCTTGCAATGATAATATGGAGACAGAGCACAGTAGGTTGGGAACTGTGCTGATTAGGTGCTACTGTATATATGGCAGTGTTGATCTTCTATGAAGAAGTATTACATGCAGGAGTAGGATAAGATGTTGCCCCTGATAATAGTCTGTTATAAAAATATAAAAAGGAATGCTTGATTTTGCAAATCGGGTCTTAGTATTTTATTTTTTTGCCATTGTGAAAAAGGATCTTTAGAATGTAGATACAAGTATTTATGAGAGGAAAAAAATAAAATGAAAGTGTATTTGTCCAGAAGGCACACACTCATCCTTTTCAAGCATCTCTTTGACCTTTATGCCTACCAGCTGTAAGATCATCCATCTTTCTTCCAGAAATTAAGGTATAAGAGACACAACCTAAACACTGCATTATTTTAGTCCAATATTCATTTTTTTAACCTTTAAAAAAGAGCTGTTGAATTTTGTGTCTGAAGAATGTTAACTCATTCATTTACCAGAATAAAGTATGCTTATTTCGAGGAACTTGAGACAATGATAATACTTCTTAATTCAGAGCTGAAGAGTTAATGCTCTGGTGGCATTAGGTAGTGATTTGGCTGCCCTTCTGTTTTTTCCCTAAAGAACGGGATACAACAGCTCTCTGCTGGTGGACACTTAGCACAGAACTAGCAGAACTGCTCAGTGCTTTAACTCTATGGCTTTCCTGGTTTAGCACCAAGCTGAAATAGCCAAAATGCAGAGATTGGACCACTCTACCCCACCCTTATTGCTTCCCAAAGATGGCATACAGAGATCTGAAGTCAACATTTCTTGCCAATAAAAAAGAAAGGAAAGGAAGGGCAATAAAATCCCAGTGACTCAGCTCCCTCCATGACTTTGCTCTGCTGATTTTTTAAAAAACCCTTTACTCCGCCTGTGTTATGACAGAGTGGGGTAGAGGAGGAGCTGAGGAAGAAAGCCTAGAATGCTTGTGTCCTGCAGCCAGACCGGCCTCATGTATTCTGCAAGGCCGTGACTGACAGATTTATTCCTGCCAGCTGGACATAAGAGAGAGAGAACAGCAAAGCCAGCATCCAGTGAGTCACAGCAGTTGCAATAGTGGCAGGGACAACACATTTTACACTGCTATGCTTTTCTGCCCACTCAAGAATGGGTGGGTAGCATTTTAATTCTGCAGTGGGGAAAGGCCCAGAGTTTTCCAGATACTGTATAGGTAATCCCTGGGTTAAGAATGTCCGGTTTAAGGACAACCCATAGTTAAGAATGGAGCCTACTGTAGCAAATTCGAGTTAAATACACAATGATTCGAGTTCATTACACACTACTACTTATACAGGATTATACAATAATATTGTTCTGACTTACATACAAATTTGACTTAAGGACAGACCTTGGGAACTCATTCTTAAACTGGGGACTACCTGTAGTCTTTTTTTTCAACAGCAGTAAGCATTTAATGGTATGAAGCTCAGAGTGCAGTTTCATTGGTGCAGGATAGAAGGTTAAGGAAAGAAATAAATTTAGTCTTTCATTCTAACATTCACCATCCTCCAGTGTAGGGTTTTATTTCCCCCACCATTTGGGGGCTGAGTGGGAATTGCTAGCTCCTTCTGAAGCTGCAACCTAACAGAATAGTAAGTTTGGCATCTGATTCAATTGTGTTCACTTTTTAAACGATTACTTTGATGCTCTGAACTTCTTTGGATGGGTGACTTAGAACATAAGATAAGTTTAAGGATGGCTGGGAGCATGTTGTAAAGCACCAGAAATATTCACGGCTTGATTTTTAAAAAAGGCATCATGCAAGGGAGGTCAAACATCTTGAGTGACCAAATCACACACAGGATTTAGAGGCAGTAGCATACCCAAACAAAAAACAGGAAAAGCAAGAATACAATTAGTTTTATGAAGCAAGGGATTAATTTTCTCTTCTGATGCGTCAGTGGATGTGTAACATCCCCGTAAAACTGATTTTCAGAAGATTCATATGAAATGCCTTTATGCTAAGCCAAACCACTGATACAGACAGGTCCAGAAATATTGGGATATCGACACAATTCTAACATCTTTGGCTCTATACACCACCACAATGGATTTGGAATGAAACGAACTCTGGGCCTTTTATCTGCACATTGTAATTGGGGTACTGAGGGAATATCACACACCTGGCCATGGAACAGCTGAGAAGCCAATTGTCCCATTACTTTTGGTCCCTTAACAAGTGGGAGGCACATATGCAAACTGTTGTAATTCCTACACCGTTCACCTGAGTTGGATGTACATACCCTCAAATTAAAGCTGACAGTCTGCAGTTAAAGCACATTGTGTTTGTTTCATTCCAAATCCATTGTGGTGGTGTATAGAGCCAAAGATGTTAGAATTGTGTCGATATGAACTCTGGGCCTTTTATCTGCACATTGTAATTGGGGTACTGAGGGAATATCACACACCTGGCCATGGAACAGCTGAGAAGCCAATTGTCCCATTACTTTTGGTCCCTTAACAAGTGGGAGGCACATATGCAAACTGTTGTAATTCCTACACCGTTCACCTGAGTTGGATGTACATACCCTCAAATTAAAGCTGACAGTCTGCAGTTAAAGCACATTGTGTTTGTTTCATTCCAAATCCATTGTGGTGGTGTATAGAGCCAAAGATGTTAGAATTGTGTCGATATGAACTCTGGGCCTTTTATCTGCACATTGTAATTGGGGTACTGAGGGAATATCACACACCTGGCCATGGAACAGCTGAGAAGCCAATTGTCCCATTACTTTTGGTCCCTTAACAAGTGGGAGGCACATATGCAAACTGTTGTAATTCCTACACCGTTCACCTGAGTTGGATGTACATACCCTCAAATTAAAGCTGACAGTCTGCAGTTAAAGCACATTGTGTTTGTTTCATTCCAAATCCATTGTGGTGGTGTATAGAGCCAAAGATGTTAGAATTGTGTCGATATGAACTCTGGGCCTTTTATCTGCACATTGTAATTGGGGTACTGAGGGAATATCACACACCTGGCCATGGAACAGCTGAGAAGCCAATTGTCCCATTACTTTTGGTCCCTTAACAAGTGGGAGGCACATATGCAAACTGTTGTAATTCCTACACCGTTCACCTGAGTTGGATGTACATACCCTCAAATTAAAGCTGACAGTCTGCAGTTAAAGCACATTGTGTTTGTTTCATTCCAAATCCATTGTGGTGGTGTATAGAGCCAAAGATGTTAGAATTGTGTCGATGTCCCAATATTTCTGGACCTGACTGTAGATCTAGTCCAACAGCAATCCTCAGGCATCTCTTTTCCCCAATTTTAGCACCCATTTTAGACCAGGAATTCCAATTTAAAATCATCTGTAGATAAAATAAGAGCTTAAACGTTATGCCATGGCTGCAAAGTAGCACAAAGAAATAGCAATGGGGAGAAATGTGTTGGGCTTTCGTACTGTACTGTGAACCTACCCAGTACATATTTCCTCTAATTAACAGGCAACTCAAAAAGAAATCCTTCGGTATTCATATTTCTTTGGATTTTGTGATACCACAAATTAAATCACATTTTTTTTAAAAAAAGAAAAAAATACTTTAGGGAGAATTGCATAGCAAAATGTATGTAAGCAAGAACAATGTACAAAATATATATTGTAAATTCACACACTAGGAGAAATACACATAAAAATGTATTCAAACATTTGCAAGCTAACTTAAAAAAAGTTTTAAAAATGTATGTGGGAATGGACTAAAACAAGCTAATGATTGTAAAAACTAAAAGTAGAGAGGTGAGATTCATTCAGATTCAAAATTGACAGAAGTAAAAAATAACTTGTAGGAGGACTGCACCTCCTCTGATTATGAGTCTAGGTTGACAATTTTTGCATAAGAATTGCATAAAGTTGTATATAGAAGAAGATGGTCCACTCAGGTTTTACAAGAAATAAAGTCTAGTAGAAAAATTACATACAAGCACTCAAATCTGCCATTACAGTTTTGTGGCTGGAGCTATCTCCAATACTTTTTGTACTTATAAAAATGTTGGATATGTTCTTCCATGGGGAACTGGAGATACAGAATCTATATTCATAATAAATTATCAGCAAACTGAAGATAAGATTTCTAAAACCTTGATTCCAATACAGAGCATACATTAACCACAAGGCAGACAAACAATGCCTGTTGAGGAAAATAATAAAAAAAAGTCTTTTATATATGTAATGCGGTTAGCACTTTGGGGTTTAAATCCGCAATGAGGCCCAAACATTGAGGGGAAAGTGACTCCCCAAAACAGCCCTAGCAGCAATGTGATTAATGACGCCATTTAGACACTTGGGGGAAAATGTAATTAAATTGGGAGGTCCTTCTGCTATATAAAGGTGCACAGAATTGGGATGTAATTATAGGATACTTGAGTGCCAATCCTCATTCCCCAACAGAACCAGAGTCAGAAGAAATCAGCAACCCAACGTATATAGGGAACAGGTTTAGAATATAAATATTTTTAAAGCAACAAAACAAGGCTGAGCTTTTCAGAGATGTCTTGGGGCTTTAACAGAAATGCATGCTCATCAGGCAACATGGCCAGTCCCTTCCCTTCTTCATTTTGCCTCTTTTACGTTCCACTGCAAGAAGAATGGAAGAAATGGTGCAGAAAAGAAAGTTAACCTCAGAGCAAGTTTATGAACTTAAAAGGAGAAAAATGGAAACATGTTGCCAAACAGTGGTAAATTTAACTACAAACATCTTTTTCATCTTAATGCATTAGGCTCTTTTAATTAACCTGAATGACAATATGCTTGGAAGTGTTCATGCTGACCTCAACATTCAATAAAAGATTAATGAAAAAATCAGCTTCAAGGCCTTTGCATCAAAGCCTTCGGTTCCTGAGCCAAAAAATCCATCTCAATCAGCAAAAAATTAGTGCACCAGCTAGTATCATTTTTGTGCAGTGCCACTAAGGGGTAGCAGAGAGCCACTCTAGGAAGGGCATAGGTTGTGCAGGAGGAGAGACAAGGAGAAGCAGCCAGGGGCAGAACAGCAATTCTTACAATGCACCATTTGCAAAAAAAAAAAAAAAAAGGTGGGGACAGGCTGGGACCTGGCAATTCTGAACTCATTTACAGGAACCTTTTGCTAACTGAGCTGAATTCAGGAAAATTTTAGAGAAAGAGAGGAAGAGAAGAGAAAGGCTGAAAGAAGCACAGAAGGAAAGTTATTGTTTATTGTATACAGATTTGTAAGCTGCTTAAATTTTTTTAAATTGAAGTGGCATAAAAGCACTTGTAATCAATCAATCAATCTGCACTATGTACAGATGTACAAAGTACAGATATGTACTTTGGACCATATCTAAGATTATCTAATCTGACCATGTCACTTCATGTATATAAAATTTCAAGGTGCAGTGAAAGTTTAGATTTTATGTGCAAGAGAATTTTAAAAAAATGGTGGAATGATAAAAATCCCCTTCATTTTAGGAATGAGAATATGCTAAATGACACAGAATTTCAAAGTCTGTTCCACAATCTAAAACCCCCATCTTAAAAACTATAAATACCTTTTTTTCATATACATCTTGCCAAACAATGCCAGCAAAAAATTTGTGCTGCATAATCTCCTTTGCATCATCTGGTCCACCACCTAACCTGTTGGGGGGAAATCACCAACACTTAGTACGGTGCATTTATTTTAAATTCATTTGCTCTGAAGCATTTCTAATGGCATATTTTCATTCAGAATAAAAGTACCACTTGACTAAGAAATAATGAAGAAATGCAAGTTCTAACTGAGGCTTTTTTACTTTTTAAGAGTTTCCTAAAGTCTTGAACTCATGCTACTAAAATTTAAAGCAAACCACAAAAAAGCCATGTAAACATGACCAAAAAACCAAAGAGCCACCCACAGACAATCAGTCTTTTGAAAAACCATTCTTCCCACCTGGGTAACATCACTGCCTCGTTGCCCTATTCACTGTGGCCCATGATCACCCCTCAAAATACAAAAGATTTTGTTCAATACCAAGAAGAGAGATGACTGAGACATCCTTTACTGTTTATGCTCCGGTAATAATGAAGGGTATTCACAGCAATAGTTTCTTTAGGATGCAGCTATCTCCAGACCATAATTAAGAGATAGCATTGAAACAAAACCAAATACTATACTTGAAATGCATCTTCATTTGCTCTAAGAGGTTCTATTTCCCCACTATCTTTAAAAATTGAGCTAATCAAATATGTATGCATGTGCATGTATGTGTGTGTGCATACATGCACACATACATATACTATACACACACACACACATACAGAGAGAGAGAGAGAATGAGAATGAACTTGTGTGTAACTTTACCAGAGGACATAAAACAGCTAAATGATAGATAAAGAACAGACATAACAGAATTGGATATACTGAGAAACCAAAATCACAATGTATGGAATAATGGTCAAGGAACTCCCAAGGAGAAAACCACACCCCACCAACACTGGCAAGGCAAGCTACTGTATATAAACAGGGAGCAAATCCCACACCCACTAGCACTGATGATGTTACCTAGTTAGGTAATGAAACATCTGAAGCAAACAACCAAGTTCAGAGCACCAAAAACTCTATACAGAAGATACCTGACTGGTCATTCAAGAATCTGGGAAGCATTCAGGTCAAACAAATTAAACCCTCACCTTTGCTTTGGATCCTTCTTCAGCAAACCTGACAGAAGAGACTTTGCTTCAGGTGACAACGTGCGTGGAAACCGAATCTCCTCCATTAGGATGAGCTCAAAGAGCTTCTCATGGTCCTGATTATAGAAGGGGAGCCGTCCACACATCATTTCATACATGACAACTCCTAAGCCCCACCAATCCACTGCACGGCCATAGTCGTTATCCTCCAGCACCTGCAAATGTAGACAATGACAAGAGTTCTAGATCAATGGCAAGCTTTTCACAAAACCAAGTAAAATGACAACTTAAAAGGAAAAACTATAGAACAGCATTCCTCAGGCATGCATAATGAACTACAACTCATATTGTTCTTAGCCAGCACAGTTACATCATCTCAGCTGCCATAGCCTCTTGGAAAGCTATCTATCTTCCTCTTTTAGGAAGTGTCCTTCAGAAGTTTTGGACTACAATTCACATCATTTCCAGAGAGCAGCACTGATTGTGCTGGTTGTCAATGACAGTTATTGCAATTTGGAGGCACCAAGTTGGGGAGAGGCTGCTGTAAGACTTCTGCAACAAATCTGCTATTTCAAGGGTGGGAAATCTGTGACCCCCATAAGAAGTTGTTGAACTTCATCTCCTTAATTTCTGCTGCCTGAGCATAATACAAATTGGAGTTCTGCAACTTCTGATCAGTTTCTGTTTGTTGGCTGCTGTCTAACTTGCAAAGACACACTCTAGCTTAACAACAGAAGCAATACAACTCAAACACCATGGTCATAATGAAGATCTCATAAACATAAGAAACTAAATGCATCAAGAGCTGAGATAAAACATGGAAGATTGTTCTTCTCTCTGCTTGTTTGCTCCTCAGTGCCTGCTAATTGTTTACTACTTTGCTTTGGGAAAAAAAAAATATTGAAACCTAGAAGATGGCCTGCAGCAAAAAACCAAAGGCTGCCAGGTATTGGATTACCCCACGCAGGTCTATTTACAGCATCTTCTGCTGTATGATTCACACCAAGCGACAGCTGGCTCTGCAGCTGCCCCATATATGTAGAAGCCCAACACAGCTGCTTCATCTGCTAGGATTCCAGGAGCCAGGCTCATCAACCTCTATGAGCAATCCGGGAATAGGGAGGAGGGGTGTCAAGCTCCCCGTGTGGGATTGTGCAGCATGCCAGTTGACCCCTGCTCAACCAGTTGCACCCTTCCCCCAGGAGAACATTTAGTCTCCTTGGACAGAACTCAAATCAGGGCAGGATTTAGCTAATGAAGGAGACACAGCACTATATCACCTTTTTTGGTTGCTCACTCCTCCTCCCTGCTTTGTTTTTTTACAAGACCCAATGCTTTTTTACAAGGCCATTTAACAAGTTTTTACAAAATCACATTTCTCCAAATGTGTAAAGTGTCTTAGGATGGTCTGCACGAATTTCTGGGATTGTTTCTGAGACAAGAGGTGTTCTTCCTCAGTTTTTTTTTAAACAATCAACCATTTAACAGTTTGTTAAAAAGACATACATGCACCAAAATAAACTATCTTAAACACTAAGCAAACAGCTGCATAGTTTATTTCAGTGATCAGCAGTATTAGCCAGAAGGACAGAAACCCTCTTATACATGGATATGGGGATCCATGGCAAGGAAATGCAGCTTCATTAAAAGTGAATTTCATGCAGTGACTCCACAGAAGACACAGAAGATGGTGTTAGACCATCTTTTCTACATTCTCATGTACTGTAGTCTAGCACTGCTTTTAAATGTAGAGGAACAAATACTTCAATGACCAAGAGCAGCCCCAAATAGCACCCTCTACCAGTGTATGCTTTTAACTTCTCACTGGTTTCATGTTTAGTACATCTAGATCCTGCCAAGGAAAGGAGATTTGGACATGCAAAACTATTTTGTTGAGCCTCTAAGTGGAAAGTAGGTTTTAATGCTTTTATTTGTTCAAATTGTACTGCTGGCATTTTATAATAAAGATGGTCAGTGTCTTCAGTCTGGAAGGCTAGATCCACTCTGGGTAATGTAATGCTCCCTTGCAGTGGATTAAAGTAGTTAGGTTGGAAGAATGTCATCAGCCCATGTGCCAGGAGAGTTCTCATAAGTACTGGGAACCTAACACTTATAAAGAAAAAACATAGCTTTGACAGTTCTACATCAAGATGCTATTTTAAGCTTGTCAGAGTTTAGAACACAAATGAAAGGGGGAAAAAACTACGTATAGTAGTAGGAATATTAATTTCCTCTCATGTTTTATAATTGGGGGAATAAATGGAAGGTAAGAGGATAAAAAAAGGTCATTTTACTTAAAATAACTGGCTGGTCAAGTTGGGAGCCAACAATGCTGAACAGCTGCATGGTTGGAATTTACAAGAGGAGGCACAACGGCTGTAAACACCTTGGTGACCAATACATCTGACACATCAAAGCTGACGTGGTACAGCCAGAGCCTTCTATGTACCAAATTCCAGCATGACCCTAAAACAACTATGCAGCAACTGTACAAACAAGCTTGGAGGCCAGGTTCCAATTACAAACAGATGACAACAAGGCAAGCTTCACTTTCCTCTTTTTAAAAAAGGTTAAGTGACTTCATGGATGTGGGACATTTGCTTGTACATGCTCATCAGCTGGTTTGAAAGCCAACCCGCCAACATGATGACTAAAGGCTAGCAGAAATCTGACATGCACCAAAAAATGAGATATTGTCCCAAATGTCAAGTTATATAGTATTCTTTGAGAATTCAAAACATGCCCCCTACATTATCCAGGTAACTGTTTCTACATCCATGTAAACAGGGCATGTTATTAGTTCCACCTTGCAAAGCCAGAGGGCCCTGTGGACTGAAACAGAGTAGCCTTTCTCTGAATCTGTTTTTTCCAGATGTTAGACTTCTTGTCACCCGTATTCAGTACAGGCAGTTGTGGGGACCATAGTTCAAAACATCTGGAAGACAAGAGCTTGGAGGAAACTAGAGCTGGACATGGAGAGACCTGGGCATAAATCACAGCTCCCCAAGAGAAGCCTAGGGTCCAGTCTCCATCTTGTCTACAGGGTTACTGTGAGAACAAAATGAGTGCAGAAAAAGTCACGTACAATGTCATGTTTCCATGGGAAGAAGTATGGGATAAAAATGTACTACATAAATAATTTAGATTAGAGCTCGGACTATACAGCTTGCTTAATATACACACCACATGGCTCTTCTTGTAACTTCTGGAGTCATCAGTCACAAACAGGAAAGGCACAAACACTTGGTTTGAATTCATGGTGCAAAATTAATTTTGCTTATATAATTTACTGCTATAATATAAATTGACAGTCACTAGGGAGGTGGTGGATTTTTTGGGGGGGGGTCCCTTTGAGTCACCTCTGGCTCCTGGCACTATGCTAGTCAAAGAGTCTAATAAAGATTGATTTGACTCCTGGCGACTACTAAAAGTAGACTAGACCAGTGTTTCCCCACCTCAGCAACTTTAAGATGTGTAGAATTCATACTCCCAGAGCATGCTGCCTGGGGAATTCTGGGAGTTGAAGTCCACACATCTTACAGTTGCTGAGGTGGAGAAACACTGGATTACACCAATTCTTTGAAGGCCACTATTGTGACATTTTCACCATTCAATCCTGCTGCAATTATGAACCTATATATTCTCATTCATTCATTCAACTTAAGGGTGGCAAACATACCTAATATTCCTGCCTCCTATTTTCTCCACAACAACCCTGTGAGGTGGGTTGGGCTGAGAGAATGACTGCCCAAAGTCATCCAGCCAGCTTTCATGCCTAAGGGAGGCTTATATCTCAAAGTCTCCTGGTTTCTAGGCCAGCACCTTAACACTACACCAAACTCTCTCTACTAGTTCCCAAGATTTGGGCAATGCAAATTCAATAAAGTCAAGCTGAATTCTCAGTAGCTTCCATTTAGCTTTCATCTACATGTCTAGGTAACACACTTCAAATTAGAATATAACCGAGACTTATCAATTTATGCCCATTAAGGCAACCCAAGAAAATCAGAGAAAGGATGCTTTCTCTGCTTTCACCCCACTCCCCAACTCTATCCTTTCTCACATGCAAACAAATGGCTATCATTCTTTCTTATGGGAAACTCTAATTTAAAAACACAGTTACAGGAAAAGCAAAATCTGTTTTCTGTATTTCAAAGTGATTAATTTATTACATTTACATCTCACTATAACCCAATTAGGGACTCTCCACAATTCATAGACATATAAAATTAAAACATCTATGATAAAAGTTAAAAATTTAAAGATGCTGTTTGCAGAAAGCAGGTAGGGAGAGAGCCAATCAAATTTCAAACGGATGCTGTTTTCAAGGGGCTGGTGCTATTACTGAGAAGCAGTGCTTCCTGGCCTTGAGCTCTCAAGAGTGGGAACCATAAGCTGCTTCCTGTGAAAAGATCATGTAAGTTGTACCAATTCTACTAGAGAATGCAGTCCTGGCAGGAATCTGGTGCCAAGCCATTGAGGGCTTTATAGTTAAAACCAGCACTTTAAATTGCACCCAGAAGCTTCTGGGTAGCCAGTGCAAGTGTAATGTGCTCCCAACACCAGAAGTTAGCGAGCTCATGGGCCACTGTATTCTGGACCAATGGCAGCTTCTGAGTCATCCTGAAAGATAACCCCAAGAACTATAGAGTGGTACCAATAGAAGAGAATATATGTAGCTCAGGGTTGAATTGTAGAGTCCTTGGGGTTCTCTGAGCTTGGTTGTTCTCTTGCAAATGTTTTGTTACCTGGCTAGGTAACATCTTCAGTTAAGCCAGGTAATGAAACGTTTGCAAGAAAACAACCAAGCTCAGAGAACCCCAAGGACTCTACTGTTGTGTGTTACAGTAGTCCAAACAAGTAGTAATAAGAACATGAGATACTGTAGCAAGGTCTTCCCTCCCCAGGTAGGGCTGCAACTGGCACACAGCCAAAGCTGGGTCAAGGCCTCCAGGCCATGGCCTAAACTTGCTGTTCAGCATGAGCTGCGTGTCCAGGAGGACCTCAAGTCATGGACCTGCTCTTTCAGGGGTAGCACGTTTCTATCTAGAGATAATATTGGACAGAGATCTCTTGCTTGGGTTCAATTTTAGCCTGTTCTGTCCCCTCCAGAAAAGTGATGTGGCTTTTACTGACAGAGATACCTAGCAGAGTTTACTCCAGCCCCTGGTGGTCAGGGAAACATATAAACCAGAACACACGAATGCTTGCAACACTTACTTGAGTTTTATACAGTAATATCCTAGGAACTACCTTAGCATCTATTTTGGGTGAAGCAAAGCATCACTTGTGTTACGCAATAAAGATAAGAAAGGTACCTCTGGAGCAAGGTATTCTGGCGTGCCACAGAAAGTCTTCATTGTTGCTCCATCCTTGATCCCTTCTTTACATAACCCAAAGTCTGTAATTTTTATGTGCCCATCTTTATCCAGCATCAAGTTTTCCAACTTAAATAAAAACAAATAAAAAAGTCATACAAGAAATCGTCCTGAGAAGTACTGAGAATGTTCAATATATTTGTAAAATAGAGTCCTAAAATGATGTCGTTTAAAAAACAACTTTTTTTCCCTCACTGCTACACTTACATCTCTCTTTCAAGTATTTATTTATTACTACAATTTTTATGCTGCTCCATTTCCAGAGATTCTGAGTAGCCTACATTATTAGTATCAGAAGATTAAAACAAAAATCAATTAATATAACCATAACCAATCAGTCCGACGTGCCACTATTGTGTGTGTGTGTGTGTGTGTATGTGTGCATGCACAGCTTTGAGTCAGTGTTTGATTCCTGGCGACTGCCTGGTCTAGTCCCTGCAGTTTTTTTGGCAAGATTTCAGAAGTGGTTTGCCAGTGCCTTCTTCTTCCCAGGGCTGAAAGAGCGTGACTGGCCCAAGGTCACCCAGCTCGTTTCATGTCTAAGTGGGACTAGAACTCACAGTCTCCTGGCTTCTAGCCTGGTGCCTTAACCACTACACCAAACTGGCTCTCACAGCCTTACTCATCTCCAAATGCCTTCTGAAGAGTCATGTTTTTATAGCTCTCCAAAAATGTGGTAACAAAGGGGTGGACTGGATATTCGGGGTAAGTTATAACCTCTCCACAGTCATTTTTAGCATTTCTAAACATTACTATAACAACTTTATCACAGCTTTTTTCAACAGGCATCCTTCAGGTGTTTTAGGGAATTCTGGGAATTGCAATCCCAAAACATCTGGAGATATCAGATTTACAATCATCTTATCAAGAAAACCAGCATTATCCCCACATGTTGCAGATATGGGATTTGGAGATTAGAAGAACAATGACTTTCTGCTGCATAAATCTGGATTGAGAATTTTCTGGATTATACTATAAAGGACAAATTACACAAGGAACTGCGCATCCATGCTTACATCACCTGCCTCAAAGTTGCAGAAACAAGAATCAGGATTGCATGATTTCTTTCAGGATGATGAATAATGGAGATTGCAGACTAACCCTTTGCCCTGTTTTATTTCTCCCAGAGTAAAGGAATCCTCATGCAAATAGCAGCTATTCAAGCTGGGGAAAACAGGGAGAAAGATAAGGGAATAGCATGGAGGAACAACAAGTATTCCCATGGTCTTGATCAAAATTAGGCCAATCTGCAGCTACTGGGGTGCGGGGGAAGTAAAGAAATGTCAGACCAACTGCTTATTTCTACTGCCTCACCTATATGTTGCATAAAGGGAACGTATGTATATCTTTTAGGAAATAGTTTTTTCTAAAGTATTGATCCATTGTGAAAGAGTCATGAAAAAAATACCTTGTAGGAGATGTAACTGCCCTAACTCTAACTGCCCAGAGTCACTTGGAGTCGGGTAGCACAGAAATTTAATAAATAATAATAATAATGGTTATGTACATTACCAGCCACGCATCAACTTAGAAGAAGATGCATTCTCCCTTTCAGATATAAAGGAGAACTTATCTTGTGAAAAACAATGCATACTAGCTAGACTTTTTATATGTATTACTTCCATGGTGTCTTTTTATAAAAGAACCTATACAAAAATTCTAAACAATTCAATAGCTAACACAATAAAACATTAAACAAACCGTCAAAAAGTCTATTTGGTGGTATATAAAAGCTGATAAATAAGCAAATATAAATAAGCAAATATAAACAAATATAAATAAACACAAATATTTAAAACACTTAAAAGCCAAGTAAAATAGTTTTAAAGCATTTAGTTAAAATACAAGTTTTACTTTGATATCAATTAAACATGATAAAAGTTTGCTTGATAATACAGTGGGGGATACCTTTCTTGTAAATTAATACGGTTTCATTGGCTGGGTACATATGAATAGGCCTTCCATATTCCTGCTAAGATCTGAACCATCTATATAACAAATGGGAAATGAGAGCTAGACCAAATAAAATAACATGTTGAAACTCACTCAAGAATATTACAGTTTGCTCTAGAACCATGAGAAGGTTAATGACCTTGGAAGTACAGGCCATCAAAACTCTTCAGTTTACTTAAATGAAGTTTTTACTGCTAATTGGGGCAATCTCTGCTACAATATACTGTGGATTAGTTCAGATTCAACCATGCAGCCTGGCTATGCAGCTTAGCAAGAGGGAGTAGCACTTTTTCCTTGCCCACATGAGTAGCCAAATGGCAACCAAGCTCTCACCGAGATTACTGATCCATCCAACCACTTTCACTTACTTCAGTTTCCTCTAAGACCTAACTCAGTCCAACTTAATACTACATTAGAAACTGGCAAGTGCTCAGTAGCTGACCAACATGCAGCACATGATGATTATGCGGGGTTCTACAAGGATTAAAAAACTGACAATATGGCAGTGTTTCTCAACCTTGGCAACTCGACGTGTGGACTTCAACTCCCAGAATTTCCCAGCCAGCATGCACTGCAAAATAGCCTAGCATAGTCCTTTTCAACAGGTGACAACATTTGATCAACCTTATCAGAACTCAGAAGCTAAAGATAGCCATCCAGTATTGGGCTCAACTCAAAGGAGTTCTTATCTTTACCTACAGCTGCCTATTCAGACTGGCCACAGCTCTCCAGAGTTTTGAATAGAAAAATGTCTGTGGAGTCCTTGGGGTTCTCTGAGCTTGGTTGTTTTCTTGCAAATGTTTCATTACCCGGCTACGTAACCACTTCAGAGCATTACCTAGCCGGGTAATGAAACA